TGAATCCAAAATTCTAGTTAATGATGATGAGTGCTTATAATTATTTAATATTCACTGCTTTAGCTTGTAGAGGCAAGTAAAGAGTTTGGAAATATTTTTTATTATTTTTGGGAGGTGTGAAACCAGTATTCCTGATTTGCTTCTCTTAAGAATATTAAATTAAGAGGAATATTAAATTAAGAATAAAACACTTGTGAGGAATGGTATAAATCATTGTGTGATTCCTATGTCACAGTATCATGCTAATAAAATGCAAAATATTAATTTACAGTGGCACATTGTTTCTCATTTTTCAATATTTAAAGCTTAATCTCAAGACTATGTACATATGGACCAATTTCTCAGAAGATGAAAAAAGGCTGAATATTTGTATCTTGTGAACTTTGGTGAAATCAAAAGTGTTCTCTTTATCTCCCAGAGGCTGAAAGAAAATGGAAGGGCAAGCCTTAAGAACAAAAAATGCTTTTTCTATAACTCAAGTCCAGCAGACAAATGCGTTTCCTATTTACCCTCCTCATCACATGTAAAAATAGTGGCAGGGAAGTTGATCATGCAGACCTACCTCTTGATACCCTCTCTCCCTCCTTGAAGTTGTTCCTGTCCAATGGACACTTGGTTGATGCCAAGGGAAGCTTCAGAGGCTGCAGTGGTATTCCCCAATACTATGTAACCTACCCCTAATACAACATAATGAGTAAAGTTGGTCAAGTCCTTTCTACCATTACTTGCATAATTTCTTATGCTAGCTCTTGCTTACATGTCATCTTTTTTCACATTGCATTCTAGCAATGTAAAATATATTTTCTAAATTTTGGAATGGTTCTTTTAGGTTTTAAGCTAGTTTGGCTGAACAGAACCATACAGAATCCAGATATAGGTTGATAGCTGGCATCTAGTACTGCAATTGCATAATTTTAGACTCCAAAATTAATAGTCCTGTAGAGGATGCCTACTTTATCCAACATTTCTAATATTCACTCATTTCAAATCATGAACATCTGATTTCGTGCACTTAGGGATGTGCTTGTTCTGAGTGGAGCCCTGAACATCTGTCTTAAAAGTGCCATTGTTTATTTCAAAGGAAAATGCAGATAAAAGGAGATAAGTTCTTGGTTAGGTCGACCATATCTCTCAGATGCAAGAACAGGGTCATTAAACATGGCAGTATTGCTTCCTGTCTTGTCCTTTTTGTGCTTAGACTGAAAAACAATCTTTCTATTTCTCTGTGGTACAAAAAGAAATACTCTCTTAACTCACCTTGACTTTCCTTAGCATGTGACCAAATTGTCAGCACTATAATGGTCACATCTGGTGAGCCTTCATACATCCAGATGATGGTGTTCAAAATGTGAATCTTGCACCCATCTTTATGTATTTTTCAATCCGAGTGAGTTAAACATATCAACAGTTTTTTCTTTATGTACTTCACGGAACTTTAAGTAGTTGATTTACAACTGCTCCTGGAGGCAAAAAACAATTCTGTGAATAATTGATCAGAAATAATTTATTTGATCCTGCATGCTTGGAAGGTACCTGTGCTATTGCTATTGTGTGTTACCTCGTGGATGCTATAAAATACCTTGGAAGCTAATTGTCCTGGTTGATTCTGTCAGAACACATATTCATAGGGATTGATACAAATTTCGTTTGTACCTTTGCTGTGTCCAAATCTAGCATAACAGTCACTTCATTTAGTATAGCCACTTCTGTCTTGCCTCTGCCACAGCTGTTTCTTTTTATGCTTAAGTAGAAGAAGCCTCCTATCTAGACTCTTAGGAGCAATCCTAGCGCATGTGTATGGATGTATCTTGTATTTCAGTACTCTCTAAGGCAGTGTTTTTCAACTTTGACAGTTTTAAGATGTGTGGACTTCACTTCCCAAAATTCTCCAGCTAGCCATGCTCATTAAAGGATTCTGAGATTTGAAGTCCACACATCTTAAAGTTACCAAAGTTGAGTAACACTGAGAATATTGAAATACAAGATAGGCCCGCACACATTTTCTGTGATTGCTCTTAAGAGATTAGATAAGAGGCTTCTTCCATTTAAGCATAAAAACGATAAGCTTAAAAAGGGGATATTCACTAAGAATGACCGTATGAGTGAGATGGACAGTATATAATTTGACAAACAAACAAAATACTAAAAGTTGCCAGGGTTAAGTGGATCTGCATGGTTTTATTTGATCACCAAGAATACCATAGTATCATCATGTTTTCTTCTTTATTTCAACAACTCATTTCTGCAACAAAAATAAATTTTTAGGAGCAAAATGTCTTATATATATTAGTCTGAAACCCAGTTCCAATTGCAAGTAATCTAAACTCAGCACATTTGAAATTTTGTTTAAAAAATCCAATTAGAAATAAAAAAAATCTCTGAATAGCTTTATGGAGTCTTTGAAATGCAGAATCAGTCTTTAGGGTCATGTTAGGTTTTTCTCTGTTAAAGAGTATTTGGATTCTTTGGTGCAAAGTTCCACCTTCTGTCCTCTTTTAATTCTATTGGCTATTCTAATATTTACATTTGTTTTCTGATTTAAAAAAAACCACTGGTATTTTAAATAAGTGGTTGACTTATGTTAATGAAGATGTAAATATACATCTAGCTAAAAGATGTTGGATTTGGCAAGATCTCCTATGCAGTTAGAGCAATCAATTTAGACATCACAACTACATTAGAAACCATTCCCCACAGAATTATTCTATTTGTAGCAAATAAGGATTTTGTGCTACGATGGAAATCTTAAAGAGTGGTTGCTTGGCATGTTGTAATAATAACCTGTGCTTAAGCATCACAATTGCCAGAATGACCTTCATCAAGCTTAGAATGGAAATCTTGTTTGCCCAGGATCCCAGAATAAATAGGAATGGTTGCTGGAGCAACATAGTATTCTCAATTAAGTGTCAAAGGTACAGCCAACTAAAATAGCAAACATCTTCAGAAATCACACGTTTTATCTTCAGTTATGTCATAACTGTTTACACTGCTTTTGATTTAATTGTTAAAAGTTCTCTGGAGGACTGGCAAACGTAGCAAACAAGAAAGGAAAGAGAAAAATTACTTGAAAATAAGTCTCAGTGAAATTAATAATATCTGACTGTAACAAATTATCCATTGAACTTTCAGTTAAAAATATTTAACTACATTTAGTGGGAGAATCGATGAGTAGAAGAGATTGGAACTAAATATAACTTGATACGTTTTTGTCCCTTGATTAAAATTAATGCTTGTTATGATGCAGTGTTTTTCAGATATTATGCTGTGGTTTTAGAAAGCTCAATAAATTGGCCCAGCAGCTTTCCAATATTATATTTATACTCCTTTTTGTCTCAGCTTGTCATCTTGTTTTCCTGACACTCCATTGGGTACATATTTTAGTTCTTCCTCTTTCTTCCCTTCTTGAAACAGGCAGTGAGTGACACTTGCAATCTTTTTAAAATAAATAAAAATGTATAAATGTAATGCACTGAATGTGGACCTATCACGAGTGTGAGCTTGCTCTAATAGCCTAGGGAGGTGGCACATGGAGCCATATCTGTCTGCACACGAGCCATCAGCTGATTTTTGGCCTTCTGGAGGGCATTGAGAAGTTTGAACTTCTGGTAGGCCTATTGGGCCTGTTTTTCGTCCTCCCCAGGCTCAAGAGGCTTTCCTGAAGCCTGGGGAGGGCAAAAATGGCCTCCCCCCCCCCGGAGGCCCTCCAGAAGCCGGAAATGGAACTTCCAAACTTCCAGTAGGCTCGTTGGGCCCATTTTTTGCTCTCCCCAGGCTTTCCTGGAATCTGGGGAGGACGAAAACTCCCCCCCCCCAGGCCCTCCTGAAGGAAATATCAAACTTAGCTTGGCTTGCAGCACACGTGGGGGAGCATGGGAGGGGTTGTGCGCGCATGTGCATGTGGGGAAAAACTTTGCATTATGGGTGCCGGCACGCACATGCGCTATTGTGCGTGTGCCCTTGCATTTTTGGCACCCAACAACAAAAAGATTAGCCATCACTCGTCTAGGCTAAATAGTTCCTGTATATAATGCTCAATTTAAAAGATCATACTTACAATTTTAGGAAGATGTGCTAAGTACTAATTTGCTTCTCAGTTAATGTGGCAAGAGAAAAAAAATTACCATTGTTTGAACTGAAGCAGCCTCACGTCCAGGATTACATATATTTGCGATATGCTAGGGTAAATAAAGAATAATCACTTTTTTCTTACATTTGCTTAAAACTATATCTCTATATGTCTGCCATCCTTTTATGTTAAACCAATTGTGTGATTTCCCAGAATGAGTTGCAGATTCTTGGTAATTCATAAGACTGCAATCATCCTTGTAATATGTAGCAAGAAATCAGTCAATGCAGATCACATTGGCTCTGAAAGCCATTACAAAAGCATTCTCATTGTTTTGAGTGCTAGAAAGGCTTTTTCTTGTCAAGAAAATCAAGAGTTTTGGCTTCTGAACCGTTTCTAAGATCCAGTGATGTACAGGGCAGTGCAATTTTTGTTAGATAGCCAGCAACATGAATTAAAATTATATCTTTACAATTATAGAGTTGAAAAACCTACACACATTTGACTGTGTTGGTTGCTTTAAGTTCCTTCAGAATAAATATAAAGAGTTGACAATTATCTCTTTGCTATCGTATTTAGTTTTCATAGAACAATAGCAGCATTTCAGTAGGATGTTGGACAGAGTTGCAAAAGGCAATAAGACTACATAAAAAAAAAATTAAAGGAGGAAAATTGAATTAAATTATTCCAATTACATTACTCTTCAAGGTACTGTATTGTAACACAAGTGCACAATAAACAAAAAAAGAAGGCTCGTCCATGTAATATACAATTCAATTATTAATATATTTTTTTGGGGGGGGAAGCGATTTTAAAACATGCAAACTGGCCTATGCAGTTCACAATTCTAAAAGGCCACTGAAGGTATTCCTAGTGTTAATATGCCTGTTCAAAGATAAAGACTTTGTGTACATGATTATTTCTTTTGTTCCAGGTTTAAACTAACTTAAGGAATATATGAGCAAAATGAAAGAGGAATTTCTCTGATATATATTTTTTCACTTCTGATTATGATATCGGAGGCAGTTGGCCAAAACTGAAGACATTTGGTGGACATTTGAATCTGGTGAGCCCTAGGAAAATGTTTTATCTGCAGTTTGTCCAATAGCTGAAATTTCCCAAGGCAACTTTGCAGATTTCTAGTTATATAAAACGGGCCTTTAATTTTGGATTTGTTTAGAAATAGTGCAAAATATCCCAGAATTTTAAATCCATTGATGTAGCCATTTTTAACCTAGCGTGCAAATTTCATTCTTGTTGGGCAGAAGAACTTTTAAGTGAGTGATAGAAATACATGCTCATTATGCAAAATGCCCTAGGACTGAATTGAATGGATTGGGAAGGGGTGGGAATCTTCTGCCTGAAATGATGGTGGACATTATTCTGCCCATCAGAATAAACAATGGCTAATCCTTTCAACCCGGAAGCGCCTTGGTGCTTCTGTGACTGGATGCTTGATAGTCAAGCATTTGTTCAATGCAAAGCATGTTAGCTTTTAGTGGTGTATTTATCACTGTGGGAACAGAGTGCAAGATTCACTTTAAGCAGTGAAGCAAACAGATAAAATCTAGATAAGTATGCTTTATCTCACATCATCCTCATTGGCCCTAGCTGATTCATATGGATATATTATAAGCTAAAATGTAGAAAGGTGTTTTAATGGCTAAGCATAAATACTCTATTTATGAGCCTCTTTATGAAACTCTTAAGGCTGCAGTAGTTTATAAAGTTGACAGTCTCACTGAAGTTAATGGCCAAGTTTACTTGTGCTGATCAGTCATGTTTTCTTTCCTGTCTACCTTTAGTATTAAGTTATAATTCGTTGCTAATACTTAAGAGGAACATGGGTTGATTGTGTAATGTTTACTGTAATGAATTAAGCTGGTGGTTCAGGAGCTAATATTTTTACCACAAGAGAAAACTGCTATGTCTACATAGATTAGGTATTTCTTGCGCCAGCAAAGTCCCCAGACTTAGAAAGGTAGAATGAAAAGATCTAGCTTTTAAATCCTGGAGCATAGACCCACAGCTTTGATTTTTGCAGTAGAGAGATCCCATTCATATATTGCAGTGATGGCTAACCAAAAGCCGGTGGAGTGCGGGGGGGGGGGATTGTGCACGCATCCATAATTCTATGCTCCTGCCCCCGCGTATGCGCACATGACCCCTCTGCACTCCCCCCACCTTTGGCATGCAATGGCACAGTGTACCTGCTTTCTCCCTCCCCAGGCTTCAGAGCCTTTCTAGGAGCTTGGGGAGGACGAAAACGGCCTTCACCACTCCCCTGGAGGCCCACCAGTGGCTGAAAACAGCCTGTTTTCTGACTTCTGGTACATGCAAAAGGCCGTAAAATCTGCTGGCCAGCACACACATGCACGCCAGAGCTGAGCTTGCATGCCCACTGATATGGCTCTGCCTACCACCTGTGGCACGCGTGCCATAGTTTCACCATCACGGATATATTGCTTCATTTTTTTTCTAGACCTGTCTGTCTCAGGTCAGTGATTCTGGATAAGAGAGTATTTTTCAACCTTGGCAATGTTAAGTTGTGTGGACTTCAACTCCCAGGATTCCCCAGCCAGCTATTCAGGCTGGGGAATTCTGGGAGTTGAAGTCCACATATTTAAAAGTTGCCAAGGTTGAGAAACACTGGTCTAGAGAGTAAAGATTTGCTGCTGTGCATGTGGAAAACCTAATTGCTTATACGATTGTTATGGTGTAGCTGATCCAGTCCAACAGCATCTAGTTGAAAACATGCTCTTTCCCCATCAGCAGAAAGAAAACTGTCCTAACAGCAGAGCAATCAGCTCCTAACTGACAGGATGATTTTGGAAAACTGCAAGAGAAAGAAGACCAACTTGTATGTAACATTAATTGATTACAAGAAGGTACTTGACTCCCTGCTACATGATTGGATAACCAAGTGCCTAGAAATAACGAGACAGTAGAAACATCAGAAGCTTTGTGCAAAGATTGGTGGCACAATGGAAGTCACAGTTGCTGGTCAATGGTGATAGAATGAAAGAGGTTAATATTGAGAGGAATTTTCTAAGGAAACTTGCTACTGTTCATCATTGCACTGATTCCTCTCTTAACAGTTCTGAATAACTCAGGCATGGCTATGAAACATTAAAAAAAATCTACCAGGCTATTCCACTTTCTTTATATGGAGGACCTGAAGCTATATGGAAAACACCATCTGAAATAGAATCGCTGTTCAACACTGTCCATATAAGCAGCCATATATTGCAATGGTGTTTGGATTGGAAAAATGTGCCACCCTCACCATCAACAGATGAAAAATAATGAAAACTGATGGAATCAAGATGTCCTATGGAAACAACATCAAGAATCTGGATAAAGATGATCACTATAAATACCTGGGCATCCTTCAAGCTGACAACGTCAAGCATACTGAAGTCAAGAAAAAGGTTAGAAATGAATACATCAAGAGAGTGAAGAAGATCTTAAAGTCCAAACTCTATTTGAAGAAATATAATCAAGGCAATCAATCACAATCATTGGATACACAGCTGGAATAGTGGACTGGATTAAAGCAGAACTAAAGTCCTGGATAAAAAGACCAGAAAAATAATGACAGTGAATCATACCCTTCATCCATGCAGTGACATTGACAGATTACTTAGCAAGGAAAATGGGTTGGCATGGAATATCACAGGTACATCAGATGGTTGAACAAGAAAAGGGGCATTGGAAGGCTATCTCAAGGATAGTGTATAAGATGCACTGAAGCTAGTATACCAAGGAAGGCCTACTGAGTACTGAGAGACCAAACTGACCTATAAAAAGCACCAAATGAAGAACAAAAAGGAGGCATGGGAAGCCAAAGCATTACATGGCCAGTACATTAAATAAAAAAACAGCAGGGAAACCAGAGAATAAGAAAACTGGGCAGTGGCTAAGAGCAGAAAAGTTGAAAAAAGAGGCAGAGGAGCTAATTCTGTCTGCACAAGACCAAGCCTTAAGAACAAACGTATACAAAGCCAGTATTGAAAAGACAGCAACAGATAGTAAATGTAGTCTCTGCAAAGAAGCTGAAGAAACTGGACCATCTGGTTCCCTACTGCCGAAAGATCGCACAGACTGACTACAAACAACAGCATGACAAACTAGCAACAATGGTGCATTGAAAGATCTTTAAGAAATGCTGTTTGCCTGCAAGGAAGAACTCATGGGTCAATAATAGAATAATAGAAAATGTAGAAGCTGAAATGCTCTGGGATTTTAGTATTCAAATAGACTAGCACCTGCCATAACACCCGAAACAATTGTCAGTGAGAAAGACAAAAAAGTGTGGACGTGGCGATACCTGGAGATGGCAGAATAGAAGAGAAGGAAATGGAGAAGATAATAAAATGCAAAGACCTGCAAATAGAGATAGAATGACTCTGGGGAAAAAAAAACAAAGATAGTACCAATAGTAATAAGCCCCTTGGATGCAATCCCAAAACAACTGGAGCATCACTTGAACACCATCAACATTGATAAATTCACCATCAATCAATTGCAAAAGGCAGCTTTACTGGGAACATCTTATAATCTTTGGCAATACCTAACACCAACAAATTTCCACATCTGCCTATCCCAGGTCCTTGTGAAGGACTCAATAGGTGGACAAAAATGCCAAATCCAGTCTGAACATCTAGTTGACTGTGTGACAAACAATAGTAATTTTCTTTCTTTATTCCCTCTTCCAGTTCGCTTAGTTTTGCTATGGTCCATTTAATCTTTTCAATTAAGTGATTTGGGTTCATATCTCTATTCCAAAATATGATTGCAGATGTTGCATTATGAGTATCATTAGACTTCAGAATAACATATGCAGAGATTTTTTTTTCTCGCTGTTTCTATTATTGTAATGGAAAGAGCCAGGATCTTTTAGCCATGTTTTGGATGCTTTGTCATTCTGTATGCAAACCAAGTGCATTCGTGAGTCACAGCCTCCTTGCAGATAGAGTAAAAGGACTGGAAACAAACCAATATCTTACACAATTTTTTCCTTATTTTGACTCATTCTTGCCTACCTCACTGACAAGAATTACGTGTTGCAGTTTTGAAAATGTTAGTTCCTTTGGAGAAGCATTCATTAAGAAGTTCTTGATTCAAAGTTTTATACTGATACTATTTGATCCATAGAATTATAGTTTGTTATTTGAAAACCTTATTGTCACAGTAATATTTCTGGTGGTTTGTATTTTAATACTGTATTTGAATTCATGTTTGGAGATTCTGCTTACATGATACAGCTAACACAGTTATACTATTTACCACTGGGGCACTTACTGGAATTTATTTATTTTACATTAAAAATTCTATCTAGAATGCTAGAATGTTTTCTACGCTTAGTTGCAACCATTAGAATAGGACAGGACACACATTCCTTTGCCACAATTTGGATTTACTTTTTAAAAAGATGTGTGGTGTTGCCTCCATCACTAAATGTAGTGGGCCATTTAACTCCTCATGCTGAATTCTGAGTTATTTTTCCTGAGATTGGAATAAATATTCATTATAATATTATTAAATATTGATAATGTGAAATAGGCTGTCCAGTTCACCATTATAGTTGCTATAAAAGGCAGTTTGTGGCAAGCTAAATGTGTACTCTAAAGGTCAAAAGATGCGCAGAACAAAAGCTGCCAAAAGTTCAGTCACATTCTAATGAAGTCATACTTGCAAGATTAGGTTGCAGAGCACAAAGCAAGGATTCAAAGGGTTAAAAGCAGGTGACTGTGTCAGGAAAAAATAATTACAAGTGATCTAGATCATCTAGAAAAGGTAGGACAAAGTTATTATCATCATTATTTACAGGTACCGGTAGTCCTCATTTAATGGTAGGGACCAGCAACTAACTCAGCCATTAAATGAAGTAATCTTGAGGTGAAATCACAAGCTTGCTTATGTTATTATTACTTCAGCTTTCGTTTGCTTTACAGACCTGATTAAGTTGTAAATGTAAGGAATGTTCATAGGAATTTTTCATCAGTGTTGTAACTGAGAATGGTTGCTAAAGAAGGCAGTTGCTAAATAAGCATTACTTGTATT